TCACAGAAACGTTGTGCTTTTCTTATACAGAAGGTCAGACTAAAGTTCACCGTGACCTCCTTCACATTTGTAATTATTGCTCTATTCATCTTCAGATATAAAGCCAAGAGGCTTAATAGATTTAAATAATCATAAGTCTGGCTCCCCAGGAGCTGTACTTTTGCTGCCTCAACAAAGTCAGCCCACTACAGATGTGTAAGAAGATATTTCCTGACACTACTCATTGGGATCAGAAGGAAAAACGTTCTTTTAATTTATTACACACTGTTATCTCAGGATATCTAGCAGAAAAAAGTATGTATGTGTATATATTTATATGTATTTATATATGTATATAAATAATGTTATTCAAACTCTACATTCACCATCATAAAATAAAATAGTCCATTAAATAGTGTAAGCAATAAATACTCACTCAGAAAACACAGCCAAGTTTCAGCAGTAACATAACTAAAATTAATCCTGAAAAGTTGAGTTGTACCAGAAAGGTAGAACCAATAAATAATATGTGTCTTTAAAGCACGACATCATATGGCACCATTATACAAAAATAGACAAGAGATAATTTTCAAAAATAAATGCAGCAGCTCTACTCGAGGAAAGAAAACAGCACAACAAACTCTAATTCCCAGATTATGAAATTCGGACGAGATCAGATAAATTCAACTTGTTTGCTAAAAAAGTGAAGTTTACCAATGTTTGTATTGCTTTCAGCTCCTGTAGCTTGTCCTAATTTAACTGAGTTCTACAAGCAGAAGCATTTATATCACAACCTGCTTCAGACACTTCACAGAAATCTGTGTAATATTCAGGTTTAACTGCATGACTTTCTTAGGTCCTACATTAGTGCTAACCCAGGCAGCACTAACACCTCTGGTACTTCAATCTCTCTCCAGGTTCAGCTCCTGAAGTGGTCCCAGGCTGTGGGAAGAGCCTGGTTCTTCTCCACAGGGATTTCAGCAGTGGCAGCAGCCTCTCCTTTGAGAGCTCTGCCCTGGCAGACCCAGGCACTGCAGCACAAGGGAAGGAGCTCCAAGAAAAGTTAGAGGCTCTCAACACCACTGAAGATGAAGAGGATGGACACCTCAGGTTCCTGGATTGGGATCAGTTACTACTTAAAAAAGGTCTGGCAGTCGTTTTCCCCAAGTGTCCGCAGACTAAGGTAGAGTTTGGCTCACCAGGAAAACTTGGATGTCCAAGGGTGGTCACAGACCTCTGATGTGACAAGAATCAGAGACCTGGCACAGCACACACAACTTCAGCACGTCCTGGATCAGGACAGGTTATGTAGAAATCATCTTTCCTAGCACCAAAGAACAGGATGGGGATCTGCACCCTGCTGAAATGCATTCCTTGATTGCAGGGAGCTCCAGAGGGAAACCGAAGTCCTGCCAGTGACCACAAGACAACAGAGATCAGGATCCAAAGGAAGGCTGGAAAGGTAACCAAGATATTCAACATTTTCAGCTTTAAGAGCTCTGGTTTATCTAGGGAATTATCATGGAATCACAGAATACCCTGAGTGGGAAGGGACCACAAGGATCTTCAGTCCAACTCCTGGCCCTGCACAGGATACCCCAAAAATCCCACCCTGTCCCTGAGAGTGTTGTCCAAACACTCCTGGAGCTCTGGCAGCCTTGGGGCCGTGCCCACTGCCCTGGGGAGCCTGTTCAGTGCCCCACCACCCTTGTGGGGAGAAAACCTTTTCCTGAAATCCAACCTAAACCTCCCCTGGTAGAGTTCCAGCTGTTCCCTCGGGTCCTGTCCCTGGTCACAGAGAGCAGAGATTGGAGTTGCCCCTCAGGAGGGGGGGAATTGCTCAGGAGAAGCCTCCAAGAAGTGCCAGAGGGAGAAAGGGCCCTTCAGGGTGCTCTGAATTTTGACTTTCTATGAGATCTAAGGAACAAAATATCATGCAGAAAACTGGGAACTTCATGAGAAACACAGAGCTGCTCAATGGACTAAAATGCAAAGAGAGAACACACAGGAAGGAGAAACAACAGCACGGGAGGCATAAAAAAAAATTTGTTATACAGCATTGCCTGGGCACAATATCAGAGAGGTCAAAGCTGGAATTCAAACTAGCTGAGGACAGAAATGACAATAAAAAACAATTCCACAAAAATGACAGGAGTAAAAAGCAGCTCAGAGAAAATCGAGGTGCATTGGTGAGTAGAGAACACAACCTAGAAGTTGTTACAGAAAAAGACTGAAGCACTCAAAAGCTCTTTTGCCTAAGTCTTCACAAACAAGGACTGCTCCAAAAGCTCTCCAGGCACTGGCAGAGTCAGAAAGAAAAGCAGCAAATAATGTGAGGAGAAATGGGTAATGGAAGCTAAATGTGTTTAAAGGAGCCACATGGAGATTTTTGAGAGCTGCAAGGCAAGCTTGCTGGTGGGGCCACCAGGACACTGCGACAGATCTGGAAATAATGATATAGAAAAATCTGTACCTAGAAAAATCATGGTGATTTTGGGAGATCCCTGATGGTGAGATACAGGCTACAGTAACAGTCACTTTTAATGAAGGCAAAAAGAGGATTGAGGGGCTCCGTTTCACCTCAGTCTCGGGACAGATCATGGAATAAATCCTCTCAGAAATTATTTCCAAAAGGCAAAGCAGCGGCTGTGACACGTGTTGGCTTTAGCAGGGTTCCGACACCCTCCCCTGCAGCATTTGCATGTGAAAGCTGACAAAGTGCTGGCTGCAGGAACAGCCTGCCAGGCACGGGACACGTCAGAAATCGGCAGGAAAATCGGCCTCCAAAGGCCGGGATCGATTTCCTGATGTCTGGTGTGCAGCAGGTCACCCCGGGGGCTGAGGCTGGGCCAGGAGCATTCAATATCTGCAACAGTAACATGAACGAGGTGACAGAAAACACGCTCAGCAAATCTCAGGGCAACGTTAAACAGACACGACAAACAGCAGAGGTTTGTCCAAGGAGACTTCGGAAAACTCCAGGTTGGAAAAACCAACAGAAACCGTCTGGAGGTCAACAAGGAGAAGAGCAAGTTCTGCACCAGACGATCTCCGAGCTGCTGGGAAGGAGCTGTGGGGCTGCTGGACCCCGGGTTAAATGTGTTCTCAGTGCAAACACAGCAAACTGGGCTGGGCTGCATCACAAGGAGTGGGCACAGCAGAGGAAAGGGGAAAAAAACTCCCTTCTAGGCTGCACTGGTAAGAATTCACCTGGAATACCATCTCCAGTTTTGGCTCTCAGTTCAAAAGAGACTTTAATAAAATGGCAAAGGTCTGAGAGGTCAATAGTCCAGTTGGCCATCAGCCTAAAATTCAAATTATCATTCTCTTCTGAAAGTAGTTTACATCTCATTTTAACTTTTGCAGATTACCAGAGGCCCATGCTGTTATTAAATACATAATACCACATTTAGCCATAGAAGAACATCCAAAAAACTTCATATTTGGCCTTATGAGGATGCTTTTTGTACAAGCAGCACAATAAATTATTCTATCTGTGGAGTCACTGAGCATAAAAGGGGCTTAGTGTGTCTTCTGTCCAGGCTTTTATCAACGAGGTGCCACTTTAATCCAGGCAATGTGCTACTCTTGGTATCATCTCTGGAGTTCACTGCTTTAAAGACATAAACCCCATCTCTGCACCCCTCCTTTGAGCCCATTTTCTCCACATCAGACATTATAATGTTCCTGCTACCTTTAATTTTACCACCACATTCAGATTTTTACCAAATATCTATAAAATGTAAGATTTTACTGTGCTCTCAAACACTGGGCTTATGCCATCATCCATTTATTATCCTCCCACCAGCACTTACATACTTTATGTGTTTAAATATTTCTTTTTTTCCCTAAGTTCACACACTTTTTCAGGGTCTACAGGAGTCTGGAGCAAAGATACATATAAATAACACCTTGTACAATAAACACCTTGTAGGAGAAATACTGAAGACATGTCTTAGAGCACCTCAGTGCCACTGTAATTCCTTTAGAATGGCAATGACAATCATCTTGGAACACTTTCAGCTCCTGGGAGGGCTGTCAGAAGGCAAAATTGCTTAATTCTGGGTTGTTACTTTGCTTACCTGACAGCACACATTTACTCAAAGGAAAATCACTGAAAGAATTATTGAGAACTTAAAAATACTTTGCAAACAGAACCATAGAATGGTTTGGGTTGGGAGAGACCTTCAAGATCATCCCCTTCCAACCTCCTGCCATGGGCAGGGACACCTTCTCCCATCCCACGTTGCTCCAAAGCCCGTCCAACCTGGCCTTGGACACTTCCAGGGATGAGGCAGCCACAGCTTCTCTGGGAATTCCATCCCAGCCCCTCACCACCCTCACAGACAAGAATTCCTTCCTAGAACATCCATAGAAGAGCCACTCTATAATCAGGAATTATTTTTTGGTATTTATTTTATTTAGCAGTAGAAGTAAGTGATGTAGAAATCTGTTTAAAACCCTCAATAGGACTATTGCTGCCCTCAGTAAAAATTAGACAGAAAATTCAATATTTCAAGAGAAATCATAGAATAGAATCACAGGATGGTTTGCGTGGGAAGGGATCTTAAAGCTCATCCAGTTCCAAGCCCGTGCCATGGGCAGGGACACCTTCCACTAGCCCAGGTTGCTCCAAGGCCCGTCCAAACTGGCCTTGGACACTTCCAGGGACGGGGCAGCCGCAGTTTCCCTGAGCACCACCAAGGACAGCACTCGCTGTCTGCTCCAGCAACCACTAATTCCTAATTCTTACGACACAAAGGAATCGTCACCACGCGAACAATCCACGACGCAAACGCGCTCCCACCGGACATTTCCTCCCCCTCTCCCCGTCACCCCCTCACGGGACGCGCCCCCTCCGCCATGTTTCCCCCCCCCCCCCGCCCCTCAGCGCGCACGCGCAGCTGCGGCCCCGCCCCTCCGCCAGGGCACCGCGCACGCGCGCGGCGCGGGGGGGAAGGGGGCGCCGGGCTGAGGCAGCGGAGCGGGAACAGAGGGAAGGGACGGCGGTCTGACCTTACCTGCCACCGCCATGCGCTGGGTCCTGCCGGGCAGCGCTTCGCCCTCCTGCGGCAGGCGGGAGGCCGAGTCGCCCATGGCGAAGGCGGAGCCGCGGAGGGCGCGGGCGAGCAGGAGGAGGAGGAGGCGGCGCGGAGGCATCGCCCGCTCAGGGGGAGCCCCGGGGAGGGAGGGGCGGGGGGGGGAGCGCCCCCTGCCGGGCGGCGGCACAAAACGCACCCCCCTCTCCTCCCTCAGACGGTCCCTCACGGGTCCTCCCCTCCTTGTCCATGTCCTCCGTGACCCTTTATCCCGAAATATCCCTTTGCACGGTCCTCCCAAACACCTGTGTGGAATGCTCCTTGCTATGGAGTCTATATGCGCGGTATTGTTTCCGGTATTATTTTGCAGCCTCGGGAGGGGTTTTTGTCTACGTGCCCCTCATGCGGTCCCATTCACCTCATCCTCATCTATATCACATTAACCCTCTGTCTTGTCCATGCTCCCGGTTTTAGGAGTGTTTGTGCAAATACATTCAGGGAAACACACTACACAGACTCTTCATTCACAAATGTGCTTTATTGTACAATATAATCATAGAATCACAGAATGCTTTGGGTTGGAAGGGACCTTAAAACTCATCTTGCTCCAATCCTCAATTAGATATGTTTTTTTCTATGACTTTTCTGTTGTCTATTTACGCAGCATTCTCCTGCGTTACATTTAGCCAACATACTGGATCATCCCAATCTTGCTGAGTACTTTTTGCATGAAGATGCTCCGAGTAACATAAATCTTCAGGCAGAAGCGTCTGCACCTATGTTTTCAATAAAAGTAAAGAAATAAAAAGTGAATGGAGTAAAAGTGCCTGTGGAAAATATCCACTGTGTTTGGGGGATAATACATATTCACACATATTCATATAATCATGGAGTGGTTGAGATTGAAAGGGACCTTAAACTCATCTCATTCCAATCCCCTGCTGCGGGCAGGGACACCTCCCACTGGACTATACAAAGGACAGGATAGAAATTCATTGCAAAATTCATCTGGAGGGTTTTGAAAAAGTTGGGTTGTTGGCCGAATTGATAGATGATGATAGAACAACAGACTAATACCTAATCTGAGAGGAAAGTCATATAATTCTCTCAAGAAATGGTCCATGATGGATGCAGTTCCTTTCTGCTCTTAATCAATCTGAGTTTTACCTGGATACAATACACTTGAGGCCTAGAATTTAATTCACATTTATAACGGCATTGGGTATTTATAGCAATATTGAGAATTCCCAGGTGCTCCTAGAGAAGCAGAAAATTCATCTTTTAGGAGTCAGGCTTTCTTCAAAATTAAAAATCCATTTGGGAATCTGAGAGACAAACTGTCCCACCTCTGCTTTGAGATTCACTGTTCCGTGCTTGAAAGGCGAATGACACCCTCTTTGAGCACATATAGGCCCAAGATTGCAGTCAGTTTTTTAAGTTTTGTGAAACTTGGATAGTTAGAATCATTGAAATCAGGACTAGAGAGGACCTCAGGTGACCTCAAAGCAGTCTTGTAATAACCTGAAAAAAATCTATTGAATAATGAGTGAATATATGATAAATAACTATGATATTTTGACAGTACAAGTTAGTAAGAACCAGAAATGCTCAATAACAGAGTGTGAATTTTATTTAAGGCATGTTCACCTAATTAACTGCTCTCTCATTAGGGTCACTCTGTCATTTCCCAGATCTTTCTTTGTAAGAAACCACTAAAGATGACAAGATCCACTGGTTTTATACTGACCATCTCTTGTCTTGCACCACATATACCTGCCCATAATGTCTAAAAAAACACTGGTTAATGTCATGATGGGTGTCAATGGACTTTTCCCCTGAGAGTTAATGTCTCTACCTGTAAGCCTGAATTTTTTTCCTGTGAGCATCCTCTGCCTCTTTGTGACCAGTTATGTTTTCATTACCATCTGTAGTGGTTTTCCCCCAGAGGCTAAGAAAAGTGGTAGACCCCAAGGGGTGGAAACCCCTGGAAGTTTTGGAGTTCTATCCAATGGGCGCTCCTGCAAAAATGTAAACATATCACAAGCTCACCGGAAGAGAGGAGTTGTAGTTTGGTTGTTGGGAGAGGTGACCATGCTGTAGAGCCACGAGGTAGGGGCTCTGAGCCCCTTGGGGCCTCTGGCCCCCTCCCAGCCCCGGCTGGGGGGATTGCAGAGACTTGGAACAGTCTTAGACTGGGCTAAGTGCCTGTAGTTATGCCGGGAGATGTTTTTCTCCATGGGCGCAGAGCAGCAGCCAGCACTGACCAGAGAAACGGTGGCAGAGAGCCAGGACAGATAAGAACCTGAACCGGAGGAGCAACAGAAACAACATGCAGCACCGCAGAAAGAACTCCTGGAAGGAGAGCCGGGAAAAAGAGAGTCAGCAGCCGAGAGACAGAGTTCTGGGGGTAAGACTGATACCAGATTCCCCCAAACTCCTTTGTGACCTCTGAGAGAGAAGGAGGACATGGACTCCTATTTAGGAGAAGAGTTTTAGACATGCAGCACCGGAGAGAGAGAGAGGAGCTGAGAAGCTCAAGAGACGTCCCGGAGCTGGACCGGGACGGCCAGATGGAATGCAGGGGGAGTTGACCTTGGCTCCCCCCTCACACTGCTGCCAAGGTGGCAGCCTGAAAGACAGGGCACAGAGGCCCTGCAAGCTTGAATCTCCTGGAGATACCAGACCGTCACGAAGACCTCCCTGTGTCTTCGTGATATGACGTGGTGAAACGACCTTGTCTGGGGTGAACGAAGCCCATGGAAGACCCCCTTTGCCTGCGTCAAGGGGGCCGAGGGAGCTTGGATACCTCCCTCGTGAGTGCTGGCAGAAATCCAGCTATCAACTGCTGCATGTGGACAAGACAGACAGAACCTGCTACCTTAGAAGATGCTGCTGCTTAAGGACTGGAAGGGATCTGTCCTTCTTTCCCTCCTGGACTTTTATTTGGAGGGGAGAAGAGATCTGATCCATTGTAAATACTTATGTCATGGTAGAGATAGTTGTGATCGTGTGTAGAATGTGATATGGTATTTATTTGTACAGTCATTGTAATATATTCCCTTTCCCCCACATTGAGTCTGGTGTGTTTTGTCTGGAAAAACCCATCTCACATTAGGTTGAGACGTGGGAGGGGGCTTAGACTAGGGGTTTGGATTTTGGGACTATCTCAAACCATGACACCATCTCTTCTGTGTGAATGGAGGTCGGGCAGAGGTGAAGGGCAGAAAAACAGACCCAGGTTTGGCTGCTCAGCCTCGCGGATGAAGTGACTGAGACCTTCCAGAGCCCTGATGTGCTGAAAATCCAGCCTTGCCTCCACTCCAACGATCCTGGTGATCCTCCACATGCTGTCCCTGTGTGTTTATCTCTTAAATCATAGGTGTCTTTTCCAGTACATTAATTCTTCTGGGAAAAAGTGCTTTGTCACCCATCACATTGAACTGTTTCACATGTGAGGCTGAAAACAGCAGAGCAGGGCAGGGGGGTTGCAATCAAAAGCAGTGGGTAGAGCAGTGACAGTGGGGCTGCTGATGCTGTAAAATTCCGGGTATTATGGGCAGGAAATAGGCTGGCATTCCCTGTTTGTGTGGCACTTCACACACTGTGTTCCTGCCTGATAACTGAATTCCAAGTATTAAACGGTAATAAACCACCGTGCCACTTAACAAATAAAAACTGCTGATTTTCACAAGGACTTAGTGCTTGTTGGCTCCATGGTAACAGAATGCTGTTTAAATTAGATAAATCCCACTTGTATTTCAGGAAAGTGTGGGATATCCACTCCTCTAGTTCCAGAAGGTGGGGGGGGGGGGGGGCAGACTCCAAAAGTCATATTTTAACTTTGTTTAAAGTTTCCTTGATATGGATTTACCTGTCCAAGCAAGAAGTAGAACATGATTATTTCTTTATTTATGCTTCACATAGACATTCTATGTACCCACATATAGATTGAAGTATATCAGGAAAAAGCCTGGATTAAGGCACCTACACAGTGCTTGCCTTCCCATGTAATTATCACAGTATTCCCAGCACAGCAATTTTATGCCATATGCTAAAAGTCTTTGGGAAACCAGCATGAAGATGGGAAAAGAGAGGAAAGAGAGAGAGAGAGCAGGAAGAAAAGAGATGTGGGCTTACCTGTCTCCTTTCAGCCAAGGCTTTGCACTAATTCCTACCCGTCCAGTCCTAGGAACTTGCTCAAAATATACATCATTTTTTTCCAGGACCTGCCATTTCCTGTCCATAATCCATCAGAGTTACATTTCCTAGTCTTTGTGCTTTGGGATAGATGCGCTTTTCCCACGTAACAAAATCTGCCGTATCTTGAAAGTGATAAAGCCCCGTGTGACCATCTCCGTGGTAATCCACGGGTTGGGAAGGCAGGTTTGTGCTTCCCTCTGCATCTCCTGGAAAAACCATCTCTTTTTTATCTGAAAACATGCAGTGAAAGAAGGTCCTCCGCAGGCTTTAGTGGATTATTCAGTGCTTGATTACTGTTACAAATATGCACCTTATTTTTAGGTTGGCTTCAGCTCCCAACCGTCACAGCTTAGCTTATCTTCCCTACAATGAGGAGATTGCTTTTATCCAGGTTTTGTTATCCAGACTTACTGCTGTAGGCTGCAGTCATCCCTCGAGGCAAGATAAACAGGACTCTGGGAGTTCATCACAGTCAAGTATATTTTCTAATTCTCTTGAGTCACTGCACATCTCTGGACCCTCTCCAGGTCTTCAAGTGATGTATTTCCTGATTTTTTTCCTGCTTTGATGAAGATGTGAATAAGGAAGCAGCATTCTGGTGCTACTCAGACCAAGGAAGTGCTGATGCCATCTGATTTCTTGGGTTGGCCTTCACCTGTCCAAGGGCAATGTTAGATCTTCAGCCTCAGAGATTCATTGCTGTGAGTCCCAAGACTCCTAAAGAATTTATTACCAATGTATAGAAATATAGATGTGATTATGGCAGATATATACAAAATTTGTGTGCTGTGCCTAGTCCTTGGCACTATTTAAATCACTAATATAGACTCGTTCCAGTTCCTTGTCTTCGTTGCCTTTGCTCCTGCAGCTGATGGCAGCTAAAAATCATTTTCCATGTTCTTCTCTGTAATTGGTAAAAAT